TATATATATATATATATATATATATATATATATATATAACTAATTAGATCAGACACTGTTATTCAAGTGTGTAACTTTGTGATGAAAGTTGTTGGGGACACTCTAAGGGTGGCGATGGACCTACAGTTACTCAACACAAACGCTTTCAAAGGGGTTTGTATTTTCCAAAAATGAGTTCAAACATATATTTATTGAATTAATTGTTTTCCTATTGTGGAGAACACAAAAGACCCAAAATACACTGACATTTGTATTTATAGATAGACACTGATGTATATAAAAAAGGATGAATACCAGCCGATTCTGATGCAAACAGCAATATATCATGCCTCCCTATATGCACAAAATTTCAGTTTCATTCATCCATCAATCCATCCAGTAAACTGTGGATTGATATTTTTTTCTTTCAGCTACACTAGTGATTATCCTCCTTCAAATTTAGAAATTTGTCCAACATATTGCCAAAGTCTATGTATTGAAATTATTGGTGGGGACATGTCCACACCTGTGCTGGTATTGTCATTAAATATCCTATTTTATTCTGTTATTCTGAAAAAAAAACATTTTTTTTTTTTTTTTTAGTTTTTGCAGATCTTATTAAATCGACATTAATAAACACCCGTCTGTAAATCTATGCAATGTGTGCGTTTTTACGCTTTGGATTTAATTAGGCTTCCTGCAATAAACATTAATGCTCCAAATGATTTACACAAGTGATAATTTGTTTTGCAAATCGATAGTATTGCTGCCAAGTTAGATCCATCCATAGTTTTAAGCTTTGATGATATCCCAGCATGCTGGCGACGCAGGACTGAGTCTGGGAGGGGCGGGATGACAGAGCTAAGATGGCAGCCCTGCTGAGGGTGCTGCCTCTTTGGGGTCAAGAAATATTCAAGGAACGAATGAAACCGAAACACTGCAGCTTTACACATGAGAACTTTCATTTCTGCTGTTCTGCTTAATCTTTTCCCTGGGGCTAGAGGAGGTCTGCTCTCCGGGACGGAAACGCCGTGTTGACACTGCGCATCAGTCTTTTTTTTTTCTGCGTCTGTGATAACTCCGAACACTGGATGCTAATTACGAGGATTTTGCAGCTCGGAGCGGGCAAATGATGTGACGTTGAGGGAATCGCATCTGATGGCTGGATTGTTACCTGTTATATATGCATTGTTTTGTTAAACGATGATGTGTGCGGCAGCGGCCGCCGCCGCCGGTGGAGGGGGGATTCTACCTTCCTTATCGCCGTCCATGGGGCTGGGTGTCAGGGTAAATTCTGGAGCGGGAGCCGATCTCACAACCATCGGTTCGGGGATGGGTTCTTGCCCTGCTCTCGGAGCCCAGTCGGATTGTCGGACTCGGTACCAGCTTTTGCTCTCAGGACGAGCCCTTGCGGAACGATACAGACGGATTTATACCACCGCCATCAACGATAAAGAGCAGGGGATAAACCAGGGAAGGTTGGTATAAAAAAAAAAAAAATACATTGAGCTGCTCTGTCACTTGGAGTGCTAATAGAGCTAACGGCTGTAAGCTAACCTTAACCCTTTCATGGCGGTGCTAAGTCAAATATTATTTATCAAATATATTCCCCTTTTACTTTACATAATGTTTAATATTTAACCTGTGAGCAATTATGGGAGATACTAAATAATATGCCTGAGGAGACATCTTGCTATTTTTCATTTTGCTATGACTTCCTTAGCTTAGGGGTGCAACCCTAAGCTAACGTTACGTTCCTTCACCCTTATGCGGATGGGTTTTATTCCAGGGAATTCGTATTTAGTTAAAAAATGATTCAAGAAGAATTATGAGAAGTGAATATGTTATAAAGTCCTGATTTGTTGGGAATAAATACAGCTTTCACTCTTTAAAACCTAGCTAGCTAGCTGTCATTACAGCAGGATGTCAGTTTGTTTGGAAGAGAGAATACCACCTTGCTTTACTGAAACACTATTACAACCTTATTTTTTTCCCCTTCTTTTTATTAAACGAGGAAATATATGCAATTTCGCTTGACAAAACGTGTCGGTCAGTTTAGTATTGTCGTGTTTAAGGTTTTAGGCCCAACAACAGCGTCACTGTTAGCCGGCTAACAGACATCAGCCATCAGCTCCTCTTTTTTTTTCCCCCCAATGTTTTCTTAACAGATGTCAATTCCACAGAAATGAGTTAAATAATAATAATAAACACAAATATAACGCTAAATATAAACTAGGAATTATGCCGTGCAACTTAAGCCATGTTTATATGGCCTTGTTGGCAGTTGAATCAACTGTAATGCTTTTCTGTCATAACACACTTACGTCATTCCAGTCAGTCAGGTTTGTTGTTTGATAAATATTAATTCTTGCTCACAAACCAAATGATTATTAATGTTTTGCTCCAAACACCTTCATATATTGTTAAATTGATCTGTATTTGTTGGCATTGGGTTATTTAATTGCTACATTCATATAGTAAATAAAATAACACCATAGATGAACAATTCATTCTATCTAATGTTTTATTGTGGGGGTTTGATATTACATATAAATTGTTATTAATGTCAGACAAGTGGATGTTTTTAGTGGAGGACTAATTAGGTGTTTTTTTTAAGCTAAAATCCTGTTTTGGGTTTTGAAAGTGAAAACTATCCAGAGATTTCCCCCTTGGCATTCAGTAAACCTGCTTGGGTTTTCCTGGTCACATAATAGGGAGTTTTTCCTCTCCACTGTCGCTACAAGCATGCTTAGTGTGAGGGATTGCATTTGAGTCAATGCAATCAACTGGTTTTCCTTGGATAGAAAATTTTGAATCATTTGACTGTATGATGTGGTGAACTGTAAAGTGCCTTGAGATGATATGTGTTGTGAATTGGCGCTATATAAATAAACTGAATTGAATTGAATTTAATAATATGGTGTAAAAGCATAATATGATCAAATTTATTTAATTTCACACCCCATATATAATATTGAATAATTATTATTGCTGCCATAAGGCTTAAATCTGCAATTTGCATTTATATATTTTCTAACAACCAAACTATTCTTTCTAGCTAGTAGTCATCTGACTAGTAGCATGCAGAAAGAGGGACAGTACCGCCTAAGGTTTCTACTCTTACTGTCTTGATGCTCTTTCTTTGACAGAAACATGACTGAAAACAGTGAGCTTTCAGAGCCCTTCCCATTGACTGCTCTATCCTCTGCTCCTCATGTTTGGCTTGCTGTGGTGTTGGTACTGGTACTGTGCACTAGGGCTGCAGCTCATATTGATGTTGCTGTTTGATATATCTATCCATTTCTTTCGTTTAATGATAGAATAGCAAAACGTGCTCAAACGTGCCAAACATTTATACAGACAAAGAAGAGATGGGAAAAATGTATTGTTTTTTTGTGCTTCTTTTTGCCAAATTACTTATTTTACTTGCCATTTTTAGAGTCTATTCCCCAGTTAAAGTAAATTTGTTTTTAATGATTTTTTAATGTTTTGACTGCAGACCTCTGTACACACAAACACATTCTTCTTTTGAACTGCAGATGTTTGTTATTGACCTCATCCATACTGTACTTTAATAAGGGTTTTAGTGAAATTATAATTTTTTTTAAATCTTCCTTATATATTCCAAACTATAGGCCTTTTTAAATTGATTTCAGTATTCATGATTTTACTCACGCACCTGAGTTTTTATAACTTTAGCTTCTTTTATTCTTACACAACCAGTTATTTGACCAACAGATTACTTCAGGGATACTCTGGACCTTCTTTTATTCTGTAGTCATCCTACTAAATTTCTCCACTCTCCCTGTCCAGCCAGGAAAGAAGTGTTCACAGGTTTTCCTCATTGCTTTCTCACCTCCACCAATGTTTGGGTGAAGGTGCATCAATCCGATATTAATAGTGGTATCGATAAGAATCGAGGCAATCCATAGAGGCATATTCCAAATCAAAATCTATTAAGAATTGAAGTCATATGTGATATGATAGGTAAAATCATTTTGAACTTCAATGGTTACATATTTGTTTTCAGGATGGAATTTGTCCTGTTAACACAACTGACTGTCTTTATCACTTCCTTATCTCAAATTGCCTTTTGGGATATCCATGTATGCATTTATTCATATCATAGTTGAGGAGTTCATGACAGCCTCTTAAAAACAAATTCAGCAATAATATAGCAAAAGAGCTCTGATATTGAAAAAGTATTGGGGTCTGCAGATTTCCAAATTGAACTATTGGAATCAAATTGAAGGTGGAAAAGAGATGTGGATTGGTGCATCCCTACTGACACCTATGGACACCTAGATCTATCATCTGTTGACTCTCTGTCCTTTTTTTTTTTTTTTCAACAACACTTGCAATGAGATCCTGGACTCTATTGGTAGTGGTACATATCATATATTCCATATCTAGAGCTGGGCCTTGGCTGAACAGTTCCATACCTAAAATCTCAAATTTTCTTCCCAATAATATCATTAACACCAGGGATTGAATCAGGGTGTCAATTAGTACCATTCATTTTAATATAAATTCACCTATCTTTGTTATAACATTTGCCTCAATCACCACTTGTGTGAAATTTCTCTCCTTTTTATTCCAAAACTAGCATCTATAGGACTTGTTTTGGATATGTCTACCAATGCTAGATTAGAGCGTTCTTTTGCTGTATATTGAATAGAACCACTGTCTTGTTCTGTATTGGACAAAGTGTTACTTCTCTGAACTCTACAAACTCCCCCCTTGAGTTCATTTAACAAACTGATAGAAAGGTTTCATTATTCTTAGTCCTCATCTATAAACTCATGTCTTAGTTTAGGAACTTTACATTTAACCTTCAAACATGCAGTGTTTAAAAAAAAAAAAACACATTGATCCTTTTTTAATCAAATTTTAGACCCATCTAAAACCTGCTCCATTTCTACAAAGTAAAATAAATGTTTTTTTAGATAAACTAATCTTGATTTAGATCCAACATAACACTAAATCTGTATTATTAAAGTTTTTAATCATGTTGTAGTTACTTGGTTCTAAGAGCCCTTTTTTTGTGTTTGCCAACACCTTTATCATATTCATTATGGCATAATAACACAGTAAGATATTTTCTTGAACTGTTATAGCCCTGTACCCTAAGCCTATTGTGTACATCACTACGATAGCCAACTAGCTATAGGTAGGGGTAAGTTACCCTCATAGCTTCTGTTCCTCAGCTTAAACCCGCCTCATGGCTTCCTTCTCCCTCCTGTACTCATCCATAGAAGGTACTCGATTGCCATAACTTTTTTCTTTCTTACTCAGTGGCGCCTCTGCTATTCCTCTTCTGATGTGGTGTGCCACAAGGTTCCATTTTACAACCCCTTTTATTCCTTAAGTATGTTCACACTTGGGTCAATCGTAACCGAGCTCAGTGTCAAATTCCATAGATATGCAAATGATGTGTAGATTTATTTAATGCCTGTTTTCTTGACAAAACTTCTTTTGAGTTTTGAGTCCTAAATTTTAAATCTCAGTCCTAAATTTTTAATCTCAGCCTCTAGGAGTCTTTTTTTTTTTATCATCTACTTTTTTTTATCACTTTGGTTGAACCGTTGTTCAACCAAAAGAAGAAGAAGGCTGTTTATGTTTTTATCTGCTCCTGAATTGATTATGTCACTGTCCCATAATGATCACATTGTTGCCCTAAGGGCAGGGCCCTTTTAATTCACACTCCCAGACAGGGACAAAATACTCCTGTTTTATTCTACTTTGGGTTCTTTTCTGTTTCAGGATAAATGTACATTTCTTTTTAAAGTTTTTAACCATCTTTCATCTCCAATTTACCCAAATTATTGAACTTTTCTTTTTGCATTATATCCTTTAAGTCAAACAGTCAATATTTAGAGAAGGTTCAAGGAAAAACTACATACATTTGGGTAAACTAGTTTTTACTGTGACTGATCTTCAACTCAGGAATCAGCCTCCACTATATCTAGCTAATAAAGCTAATTAAGCTCAGCCTTTTAAGACAAAGCTCGAGGTACAAAGAAAATATTGAATTACAAAGACATAAGTTAGACAAGTAGACTTTTGATTCCTAATGTATAGGACCTAAACAATCTTAACTTCTTGAAGAAAGTATGTGTTCAAAATTGGAGTGCCTTTTGGTCTAAATGAGCCTTTAGTGAAATATGAACAACACAATACAGAAGTTTGGGGTTTTGCATGTATAAGTGTAACTTTTGGATGATATGATGCTCCAGTTACTGAGTGGTTTGAACTTCTGTACTAAAGGTTATGTCCGTGAAAGGTTATGTTATGTTATGTTAAACTATCTGCCTTTTCTTTGTGTGCTAACAGGGGGAAGAAGGCTTTGAGTAAGAAGAAACTGAAAAGGCGACAAAAAGTCAAGTCAAAAGTCAAATCAAGAACAAAGGTAAGAAATTGTTCCATGATACCTTTTTAATACTTATCTATTCTATATTTGTTTATAAGGGTTTTAAGCACAAAGTCAACTGGATTTTCTTTTGCCTTTATTGTTGTTATCTAGCTTCATAGATAGTAGGAGATGACATAATCTGTTGATATCTTGCCTCTTGGTCCTTATGATAAACCCATACTTCAGATTTGGCTCCACTGAACTGATGCAGTTGTGGCAGACAGATCTGTGGCCTTAGTCCATTTTGAACTCAGCCAGGTGAGCTTTAGCCCGTCCAAACATAAATCTGGGGAGGTTGAATGTGGAGCACTTGGGGAGTGGCTCTGACTTGTACATGATGGGCTGTTGCCAAGCGACATAATGTGTTCCACATCTCCACGGCAACAGTTTCCTGCCTCCATCTCCTTCATCTAAAGAAGGAACAAAAAAAGGATGCCATTGTGTTGTTTAGACCCTAAACACATCAGAGTTTTTCAAACTAGAGGATGAATTATACCAAAGGTTACACAAATTATAGAAAATGTGACATCCAAAAATCTGGCTTTTATAGACCATTTGTTGTTTTTTTTTTAAGTAAAACTTTACTTATGAGATTATTTCTAGCAGTTCTATATAGCAGCCTTTGCAGTCAGAGGAATAAGGCTTTAGCAAGACTGGATAGCAGTCAGGATTGCTGTTAGTTGGACATTGGGAGGTCATGTTATGTTTGTACTTGTCACTCTCATTCTCGCTCTTTCATGCCTCTGACTGTGGAGTACTCAGAGAGTAGAAGTGTTTGAAATCTCCTGCTCCCTTCCTCCTCTGCTACAACGTTGAAACATGAAAGTAGGACAAAGACAAAAAGTGCTTGTCATTTCTATGAAGAGCATGATGTAACATCTTGTTTGTAGGCTGATGTTGTGCTGTTTGTTCCCTTTTAAACAGACCATAACTGTACATAGTTATAGCAATATTAAGCAGCAGAATGGGAAATTCAAATGAATATTGAAAATTAGTTTATTTCTATATTACTGAAATGCTCTTGCATGTAACTGTAAATAGAGCTGCAGTCTGAAATCTTTCAGTTTTATTTGTGTTTTTTATGAACAGCTGTATGCTAGTTTGCCAGACTAACATTATGTTTACATGGTTTTCTTGTGCCTTTTTGCGCATCAAGTTTTATATAACATACATCAAAGTGGTACCAGGATATTGTGTTTGCACCATTTTGGTGTTTGAACTATTTTAGACTCCACTGTCAACATAAGTTATTTATTTTATACAAAAACATTTGCGTTGTGATGCTCTGGCTGTTTTTATTATTGTTGATTATCTAAATAAATTATGACATTTTAAACCCTTATCTCTCTTTCCAAATCAGGACCCTGCTCCAATGTTTGGCATTGTGATAGAGTGTGTTTCTATAATAACGCAATAATTACTGTTATAGTGTCATGGATGAAACCCATGGGGTTTAATTGAGATTGTAAAAAAACTATGCTGAGTTGATGTGTGAATGTTATTGTCTAGAAAGCATTATTATTTTTTTTTTTAAGTAATCAAGAAAACTGAAAAAATATGTTATAAATTTTTGGTTTCTAAATTTACCTTGGTATGTGGAGCAACTGGAGAGCATCTCTATCTTAAAGAAATGACTGAAATAGTTTTATTTGTCAAATATTTGTACATTTCATCAGTTGATGCAAATCCAACAATTACTACTCGGTTCCCTTCCGCCACTTAGTTTTTTTTTTTTTATATTTAGAGAGCTTCAGCTCTCAGGCAGTATGATACAGCGCAGATCCTTGACAAGAGGAAGTAATCTGCTTTTCTGTGCAGCAGACAGAGACATTTTCCTTTAAATGGTTCAAAGGTTTAAAGTGACTCCCTTTTTCAGAGCGAAGCTCCACAGCTAGCTTGGTAATGCTTAGACCATGTGGTAAATGTAGCACTTTTTGTGAAGCACATAATTGGGCTTTGAGGTTTAGTTATTACAGGTGTTTTAGAAATAAAATAATTTGTTGTCTTAAAAACAGACAAAGGTTATGATAGCAACGCAAATTATCAATGGGAGGCTTCTTATTCAGATTTTGTTGTGTTTCAATTCAATTCAGTTTATTTATATAGCGCCAATTCACAACACATGTCATCTCAAGGCACTTTACAGTTCACAGATCATACAGTCAATGTATGAATTTCATAGTTTTATAGTGACATAACGATTCAGTCAGTTTTAGTGAAAGAGAAAAGGTCCTTTTTGTAGGTTTTTACAAACATGATGAAGATTTTACAGATTGCAAACGCATGCTTAATCACTGCATGTTTACTGTGTGTTTTATTGCAATTAAAAAAAAGATTTGAAGGAATTCATAAGTTAACAGTGCTGATCATTTATTATACGACAAATCAAAACAAACAAATCAATCAACCTATCACCACTTTCTGTAATGTTAAGTTGCTCTAAGCCATTAGCATCAATTTTTTTTTTTACAGTCATAGAATACCTTTTGGCTTATTTTTCTTTTGGAGGTAACAACCTTTAAGCAGTTATGAAGCATACTTTTCATCAAGCCCACATTAGAATTTATTTATTTTAATTTTTCTGTAATTCTAATCTTTTTGTTATTTGGTTTGTGAAGGAAAACCATCATAATTAATAGCGATAAAAGCTTAAACATCAGTATGTGATTAATTTGTTGCGTGTTTGACTTAGTGTATAGGGCTGTGAATCTTTGGGATTCCCACGATTCGATTTAGAATTGATTCTTGGGGTCACAGTTCAATTTTTCCCCCGATTCTTTTAAATCCAAACGATTCGATTCAGAAACGATTAATGTCCGATTCTTTCGAGATGAGAACGGGGATTTGAAGTACTCCCGAAATACTTAACTTTACCGTTGCAATCTCTGCAAATCGCATGAGTCATGTCAAGCCCTTTCTCACCCGGTCGGGTTGAAGGTAAAATCCAAAGTGTTTCCAAATGGTTGCATTTAAAGACCGCGGAGGCGGTTGAATTTCTTTTTCTTCGTCCTCCATACTTTAGCGGCAACAAACACAGTAGCTCACACAACACTACACACCATTCTGTAGCCTGCTAGGCTAATGCTTGCATGCCTGTGCATAGCTCACGGTGCTCATTGGTTTCGCCAAACACTACGGTGCCTGATGAGGCACATCCACACCCACAAAAAAAAAAAAGTTTTTAAAGAAAATGAGTATCAAGTCTGAATCTTTAAATGTTAGAAACACGATTTGAGCTCAAATCTATTTTATTCTTCACCCCTATTAGTGTAGGTTACTGAAAATAATGAAACTTTCAGTTATATTCAGATGTTTTTCATATGACAGTTTAGGACAGCAGTTCTCAGCTTTAGTATTATATTTAACAATTTTTAGCTGTTCTTAATTTGTCCAGCTTTGACAAGTCTGTTCTGTTTTTCATCAACAAACCAGTACAATTGAAAAACCACTTCCTTCAGTTTGTCAAAATGAAAGTCTTAAACATCAATAGAGGATATCTGGGGTCCTAAATATTAACTTGACCTTAAACGGCAACTAGAGAGCTCTTCGTAAGACGGAGGAACTGTTTGTGCGTTTTTCTGTAATATGCTGTTATGTAATTGATTTTATTTTTTGCCACAGGCTTTTTTTTTTATCATTATCACTGTAGGATATTTCCTTGACACTCAAAGCCATTAAATGTCTTCAAGTACTGCTATTGACTCTGGAAAACTTCTAAGTGCTGACTTTAGATCATGGACAGAAAGCACACAAAAAAAACAATGTAGCAGCCTGTGTCGTGTGGTTGATTCTTTATATTTATTTATTTTTTTCCCAAATTGAGAAGAAACATGAGTAAGGCAGCTGGATTTACATATTGCATAACGGGATCTTCACTTTCTTGCTCGCTTTTAGATGATATGGGCTGCTTTTCATCAATCTGTTTCTAATGCTTTGATTAATAACATTTAATCTCTTTCACCACTGATTGTCGCTCCTCTGAACTTTATAAGATGCAAACCCTCACAGATCTGCTCTTGGAAATGGATTCCTACATTAAGCACTTTAAAACAGACCTAGGTTTAAAAAAAAAAAAATCTGTACTTTAAATTAGCTTTAATTCTCATGACATGTTGTGTATGTGGTTCCTCAGGTTTTATTTCAAATCAGTACCACATATTATTACTACAGATTAATTGTAGCTGCTAAGATTTGTCGTTTGTTTCAAAAATTTAACAGGATATAGTTTTCTTTGCCTGTTTTTAGTATTTACATGGCTAAATTTCCTGGCATAAATGCTTTGTAGCCTGAGTTACAAATGGTACGGTAGTAAAGAGACACAAGATCAGCTGATGGTCCTGTTTGAGGACCGTTGTTTTAGCCTTTTCCTCCTCATGGGTTGTAGTTGATAATAAACGACCCTGTCCTTTTCAATAGATGACCTCACTATCTGTGATCTGGATGGCGAGAGTACGGCAGTGCCAGAGCTACTTGGTGGATCGATGGGATTCTCTAGAGGTTGCCTCAGCACTTTGGTTAAAATACTTCCCTTGGTGGGACCGGGAAAGCAGTCAGCAATTAGTGGGATTGTTTATCGAGTTTCTCCGTCAGCTGCAGTTTGTCTAATAATGATGGTTATAGAAGATCTTTGCCTAAATAGTTGTTTAATCCTGATTTCATCGTTTTATTAAAAGTAAGAATAAAGTGATTAAAAAAGGAAGAAAAAAACACTGTATGCTACAAAGGATCAGTGAGGGAGTAGATGGGTTCAAGCCGCTTATTTGGAGAGTGTTTTTAAAAGACACATCCTTAGAAAATCAGGTTTAAACTTATTTACATTTGAACATATTTATACCCCCATAAGAATCGGATAGCTCATGATTTTTTGAATAAAACAGCTCAATATGCCTTTTGTGTTGTTTCTATTGTGATAGCAAAGACAAGGAGAAAGATTATCTGCACAGAAAAGGAATTTTACTTTGGTTCACAGCTTATAGACAATAATAAAAAAATATAAA